TCTGTGGCTGGTACTTACGGCTGCCATCAATGACGGTAGAGGTGGTCGGCAGCGAGATCTCCAGATACTGGGGAGACACGACGGCCACCGGCGGCTGATTCACTCGAGGCTCTGCAGGGACAAAAAGGAGTATTACAGCCACAACAGAAAGTCACCATTCTATTGAAAAACAACCAAGAGACTTGTGCAACCTTAAAGCCTACACGGGTTACTGTGACATGGTCTGTTATGGACCAGAACCCAAAGTATGAAGTCTTTTGCTCAGCTGGGAGCACACACTGAGCTGGCTGTGTATATACACAAATGGACATATGCCCAATGGATGAAGACAACTCCAAAACACCAATGTTTACTCCCACAATGAATATATTGGCCCTGGAAGGACCAGGAGCGGCTTCTAGTGTTACAAATACTAAGGCCGATTTTTCCGCAACACAGACTAATGTATCTACCTGTCTGCAGGTTCAACTGTAGTGCAAAAGCCAGGAGAGGGAGGGCAGAGTTCAAATCCCACCTCCACTATGACCTCAGCAAGGGACCCTGAGTTACGACGCTCTTCAGCCTCAACGACTTCCTGCCTGTCCCACCTTACAGGCAGGTTGCAAGTATGAGGCAATATACATCGAGTGTTTTCACACCATCTGGAAAGGCTCTATGAATTGTATGTGTTTTTATCCAACCTGCGGCTCAAATGTATCCTCGAGAAGAGCTCGCTAGGCAACTCTGAGCAAACCTCGAATTTCCTCTTTGCAGATGGAGGACAAGTTTTATTAATCTGCCTCAGAGAGCTGCTGGGAAGATGGTGGAGAAGCTGCTGAGGAAACATTCAGGGCAACTACAGGGAAGACGTTTCCTGCCAGATCAACCGAAGGCACTACCTCTGAGAGGGAGCCTGGGGGGGGGCTGTCTCTCGCATGCATTCAGCCCCACTTGCACCACCACCTGCTGGCTTCTTCAAAAATAGAGTATATATTCTAATGGAGTTTGTCTCACTGAGTATCCACAACCAGAGGCCCAGTTCCTGGCATTTTCCATTCTAGATGTCACTGGCCAAGCTGCCAGGCCTAATCCTTCTCTTACTTTGCAGAAGGAGGCCCAAAAAGACAGACAGGACTGACGGAATGCCAGCTCTTGGACGGGCCCATAAACCTACCTATAACCATGTGTCAACAAGTCCATTCTGACTTATGGAGCCCCTCGCCAGGGTTTTCTGGGTGAAGAGTCCTTAGAAGGGGTTTCTTGTTTCTTTCTTTTGGGGGGGGGGGGGAGAGTTGCCCTGGGAGTCTTGTGCAGCTTGCCCATGGCTACAAAGGCTGGCACTTCTCCCAGGAGGCCCAGTGGGGAACTGAACCCCCAACCTCTGGCTCACGAACCAGAGACCTAACTCACAGACAGCTCAGCGGTTTAGATAGCTGGCTGCGGAGCCAGAGGCTGGGAGTTTGATTCCTCACTCTGCCTGCAGATAAAGAAGGGATTAGGAACAGTGGTCTGGGACAGTCACAAAGACTGAACTGAAGGGAGATCACAGTAAGCATACCTGGTTTAACTGTCACATTCACCATTCCTTCTCCATGTGCGTTATCACCATCCACTATCACGTTGAACTCATACAGGCCGACTGTGAGCTATCAGAGAAAAGGAACATGAAAAGTTAACATAAAGCCGTGACTGCTCGGAAGAAAAGCTAGACAACTAAGGTTGGTGCTTCATGGGAACACCAAGGCCGCAATGATGCTATTTCACCATCTGAGAAGAAACGGTAGCTGTATTTTGACCCAAACACCTTCTCCCACCTGAGCCTGGAATGCAAAGAGGAGAGCGCTATTCCGTGGTCATGCCAGGCCCTGCATGGCAACAGGGGCAATGAGAGGGATGAGGGTCATTGTTCTACCAACAGGCTCCTCCACCATGAATTGTAATAGCCTAGCTCCCCCTCTCCCCCACAAACCTCCATCAATTATATAAGTTTCAAGGGAAAAACACAGATGAAACCGCAGCTGACATTTCAAAAGTATTCCAAGATGTTTTAAGTGATTCTTCCTTCTTTCAAACTGTGCAAACCACTTGGATAATCCTCTTTTTATACTATATACACCACTCTGAAAACTTTTCTTGAAAAGCAGTATTTAAATAGTCTAAAGAAACAATACTAGAAAGGCAGAAGATGCTTGCATGGAGGAAGTTCTCTTTGTTATATGCTCGGGATCACCGGATTGTCTATGGTGCCGATGGTTTCTTTAAGATGTTATGTGTTTTTAATCCTGTTTCAATTCTGTCTGTTGTTTGTTTAATATGTGTTTTGATTTGCTGTTAAGATGCCCAGTATAGTGCTTCTAAACTAGGACATAAAATAAATAAATAAATAAAACGTTTTGCTCATCACTTGGCTTGACAGTTCAATTAATTTATTGTTTAACTAGTTTTGTACTGAAGCAGGAGGATTTACAAATAATTACCTTGAAACACTTCAAATAAACAAACAAACAAACAAACAAACAAACAAACAAACAAACAAACAAATCGTTTTGCTCATCTCTTGGCTTGACAGTTCAATTAATTTATTGTTTAACTAGTTTTGTACTGAAGCAGGAGGATTTACAAATAATTACCTTGGGAACAAACACTTCACAAGACTTGAACAAAAACATTCTGTTCCTCAATATGTGAGAATGATTTCTACTTTAAATGCACGGACAAGGATCCAAAGAATTAAAAACTAGTTACATGAACTATGAAAAGCTTTGGATCTGCAGGCACATTCAGTGTTGCACAGAAAGTTGCTTCTGGAACCAGGAGACATTTTTAATAAAGTGTTGAAGCATAGGGCATTCAAAGGGATCAACTATTTAAAGCCAAAACTCTACTGGGAAAGTAAAACTCTACCTGCATGAGCCGAAATAGCTTTTTGGATGCAATTTTGGAACCTAGACCAATCAGGTGTCACTTTAATAAATAGAATGAACTGCATTCTTTTAAAAGCTAGAAACGCTTTTAGCTAAGGTGATCAGAGAATCATCCAAGATTTACGAGCAACCTCCTGCAAATATTAAACAGCAGAGAAACAAGGGAATAATTCCACCAAACATTAGGGGCTCTCTCACACTCAATCTTCTTCTTTTCTGAAACCCATTGCTTCTTTTCCTTTGCTGTTCTTCTCTGGCAAAAAAAAAAACAATTCAAAGGATTGTTTCCTTTTTCTTTACAATACCATCTCAGGCATCCAAACCCGAGCCACCATTTTATTCTTTGAAAACCTGAGTATGCTCTCAAGCGGAGCTCATGAGGCATTAAGAAGTCCACAGAGATGAGCCAGAACAAGGAAGATGAAACAACAAACTTTTCTACTGAGGTTTGTTTAATCAGAGAAGCTGGCCAAATGATGCACGGTTTACCAATGACAAGAGAGTTTGATGGCCAAATGGCATTTCCGCCAGCCAGAAAATACATCTGGAGTCTTTTTGAATGGCCACTCCGAGAATGCAACCCCTCCGAACCCAGCTTGTGAAAAGAAGCATGGCTTAACATGCGCCAAATGACTCTCCCCTGTCCATTCAAGAAGCAGCTCTTCCTACAAAATGCCTCTCCCAATAAATGAATGAGACCTGCTGTCCACTAGAGGAGAAAGTGTGGAATTTGGACTAAGAGGGGAGAAAAACGCAAACGGGAAACTTACCTTGGATAACTTGAGGATCTGCGAGTGTTGGCCTTCCATTTCCCCACTGTAGTCTTTTGGGTGCGTGATCAGCCTCCAGTCATAGGAGTAGCTGGTTCCTGAAAGGAAGAACGCACAAGAGATGAACAGAACCCAGCCACATTGCTCCTAAGCTGTGCAGCTGCATGGCCAAGCAGCACTGGATTGGGGCCACGCCACTGAGCCAGAGTTGCTGTCCCTTGGCTTCTGGTCGCGGGCAGAACCCCGCAAGCGTGGGGCAGGGTCACGGTGCCTGTGGGGTGGAGTCTGCCCCCAGGCTGACGGAAAATTAGAGGGAACGTTGGATGTCCCTTGGCTTCTGGTCGCGGGCAGAACACCGCAAGCGTGGGGCAGGGTCACAGTGCCTGTGGGGTGGAGCCTGCCCCCAGCTGACGGAACTTTAGAGGGAACGTTGGGACCCGCCATCAGAAGAAATAGGATGGGAAAATTTAAGCAGCTTGGGAGCTCCTACATTGGCCTAAAATGTCACGGCAGCCTCATTTTAAAATGCTACACCGTGTTATTTCTACCTGTGTTAGATCTGAACAGGGACAAAGGCATACTGGAGTGAAAGAGACGAGATGGAAAGGATAACTCCAATATGCTTCGTAATACCAGAAAAAAATGGACAAAGATGTAACAGGGTATTTTGGTATCTAACTTTCGTCCTCCTATTGTGGTAACAAAAAATTGCTCCTGAGGATTTCTGCGCTCCGTGGAACTGACTTTTAAGGTACATGGGGAGCTACAGTGAGGACGGGGAATGGAATTCTGATAGAAGCAACAGGATCCAGTGGAAGTAAACATCCAGATCCTGGCCATGAGAACAAATGTGTGTGGATTATGACAGCTGGCTTTACTTTATACTAAACATGTCTTACACTAAATCCCACAAAACCACATCCATTCCCTATCACTCCCAAGAATCCGCGTCTATACCTGTATCTATATCAGAATTAAAAGGAGAAAATATCCTTAAAGACTTTTGTTTTCTCAAAACAAAAACAGAAGTTGTTATCTTCTTGCAAATCCACTGACAAGTTTATTCAACTTCCCATGAACTGGACACAAGTACTGAACATTATCATTTAACTTCTATTTTTTGTGGATTTTTTAAATACTTCAATTAAAACCAATGCAAAAAAGGAGAAGTTGTTTGTTTACTAACAAGATCAAAGCTGTTGTGTGTATCAGTATTTTGATCTATGCCTATTCAAACAATTCAGCTCTGGAAAAAAGTGTTCTGGATGCCTGCATTTTCCTAGGTGGAATTTCATTCAAAGTGGAATTCAGAATGCAGCCTCAGTGTGCAGGCCCTCAGGTTAGAAGCAGTTGATGCATTTGGAAAAGACCCCAGACTGACTTCTTCCTGAATCTACCATGGCCATGTTAATACACCACTAATGCAGATCCGACTGAGAGCTCTCAGAGTTCACCAAGGGTCATGAATTGGTATTAAACCAGAATGCCTTGACTGCTCAAACATGCACAAGCCACCAAACTCAAGTTTGTTGCCAGACACCTCGTGGCCCAGCCTCGGGTCCTACCTTTAGGCGCTGGAGGCAAGACATATGCATTCAGCTCCACCTCGTTCTTTGGCAGAGTCACCTCGACGCTGTCTCCAGCCGAAACTGCCAGCTTCTTAATAACTGCAACAGAAAAAGAAAATTGAAAGAAAAAGCACCACTGGGGGCAATCCTCGCCTTACGCCTTCTATCCCTGTGCAAGTATTTTCAACCTGCTCGGGAAGCAACATTAGATTATGGCTTACATTTATATGTCCCAGCAGCAATGAGATTCAAACTTCCTCCTGCTCTTTCAGAGCTGCAAGGAGAGGATCAAAAGCCTCCGCTTTTAAAAGGACCCAGAATTTCCCCCTGCTTTTTAACTCTGAGGGGAAATCTGCTTGTTTTTAAAATGCAGCTTGATCCTATCTGGTTTGAACATACTAATTAGAGTTGATCCCTGTTCTGATATAATAATAATAATAACAACCCTCTTGCGGGTGTAAAATGAAAACTGGAGCCTTTCAGTCACCTCGCTTCCGCTGCTCTGGTGAAGAGGGGGCACATAAATCCGAGGTTTGCTATTACTTGCACAGTTACTGAAAAACTTAAAATTACATCCCAAAAGGGCCACTTTGTGACTGGAACATAGGCTTCTCGACTAACTGTCAGAGGTCTCAATATTTTGGAGCCTGAGCAATTGAAATGCATGCTTCTGCAGAGAAGTCAACTGTATGTTATAACCTCAGGCAGAGGAATCAATTGAAGGAATAGTTCCATGCATGAGCTCTGAAAATAACAGGAGGCAAATTATCATTTTCGAACATCACAACTGTAGATACCACGCAGACGCCATTCCAGATTTTACACTCAAGGTGAACAGAAATACACAGATTCACCCAGGGACTGAACTCTTTGCTGTTTTTCTGAAAGATCATACACATCCTCCTGTACTGTGTACTGAGGAGTGTTAGAACCAGATGCAACCAAATACATTTCGGGGGATAATCCAGCTTCTCTCTTACAAATGAAGAGAAACAAGAGCCTCTGTTTATTCAACTGTAAACTTGGCTTGTTGCAAACATACCAAGAATTCACAGTGTTCTGACCTTAAAATAGACACACATTTTACAGTGTGAGCAGGTATGCGCAGCCCATAAAACCCAGCCCTCTAGTATTGGCTGCTGCTTTCCGTACAGGGAGGTATCACTGAGGTTGATCTTTAAGCCTTGTTCCAATTTAAGAAACACTGCAGACTCCCGTAAACAGCTCAGCCCCCCCCCCCGCCAAGGGCCATTATCATAAACATGGTATGACATTCTAGCTTCAAAAGAGGAAAAGTATAAAAGGTGAAACACCTTCAAAAGCATGAATCCCTGAAAAAGGAGTATGGAGAGGAGGGAAATACATATGAATAAAGGAAACTGCCTCATTTAACCCATATCACTCAATGTTATCTGCACCAATAGCAGGAGAAACACAGCCCTCTTGATGCTGTAAGGACTGCAACACCCATCATTCCTTGGTACTGGTCATGTTGGCTAAGGCTGATGGGGGCTGCAGTCAAACCAGACAAGGAGTTGTGGTTGCTCACACATTGGGCGACACTGTGTGACAGTGGCTTTCTTGGGTCTTCTGATACATCTCTTCCTAAACCCGGCTGGAGAAAACAAGGACAAAACCTAGGACCATCAGAATACAGAGTCAACATCTTCTCACTGATCTATGGCCCTTTCCTGCTAAATCCCCCTGAGCACATAATACAACGTGGGAGCCAGCACAGCATAAGGGACATGAGTGAGAGCTGCAAAAACCAACCTGAACCTCCACTATTAACTCATAGGAAAACTTCCAGAGGGAGTCAGGGAAACAATGGCTTTTCTAAGATACTCAGAAACGTAACTCCATTGCCCAAGCCGGCAAATCTTCAAGTGCAGAGCCATTCAAGGGCCAAAGCCTTCCAAGTCCTGATTTAAGGAAACCATTGTTTCTCATTCTTATCACTCCTGTTTGTACAAAAGAACAAGGGAATACTTGTCTGCCTTAAAGGACTGCTATATAAGTGTTGGTTTATTATTGTTATTCTGTCAGATGAGCAGCATTGATAGTGCCACCGACAGCTTCATAAGTTGTTGTTTTTTGTTTGTTTGGGTTTTTTTTTTAGTTTTGGATGACAACCGTCAGAGAAGAAACCAGATACAAAAGGGGGGGGCAGGCGGGCATGTAGGGACGTCAATGTACAAGACAGGGATGCATGGAGGTAAAATAGGAAATGGTGGCTTCTGAATTCTGGTGCATCACAAGCCAATTATCTGATGCAAGAAGTGACAAAAGTTGAACTGAAATGAAATGGGGGAGCAGAATTAAAAGCAAATCTTACACTGAAGGTTTGCGTTACAAGTAGGCTCCTAAAGAGTTGAATGTACCTAACCCTTTCCAAATTATTCCATTCTACCAAAAAAAAAAAAAAAAAAACCCAAACCCAATCAAGATACATGTGTTCTTCTTCTTTGTCAAGACCTGTACATCACCAGTAATCACCACCCAAATGGTCTGTCACCAGCTCTGGTACAACAGAGTCAAGAGGTTATCTCTGCTTCCCAACAGAGATAAAAAAAAAGATGTCCTTTTTAAAAGCAGCACAAGAAAAACTCTCCCTTTATCTTGGCCAAAGGACCATCAGATGAACCTTTGAGAGTAGGAAGCAGGGCGGACAACATTTAAAGAAGCTCCATTGCGCCTTCCTCAACCTCGAGGTGTGCTTACCTGGGGTCGGGATGGCAGTGCTGAGCAGCACAGAAGGATTTGTCGCAGTTGCTGTAACACTACTGTTGCTGGGAGCGTCGGTTGGAATAAGAGTGACCTGCTGTATCTTCCCAGTTCCCTTTCCTTGAAGGATGCTAGAAGTAGGAAGGGCTTCCTCCAAGGAAGAAGGATGGATAGACGTGGTGTTGGGTGGCTTCAAATGCTCAGGATCTCCAAGAGGACTGGGGGACGTGGCTGCTGGAGAGGGTCCAGGTGTGGGCGCCTAGACAAAGTGACAACCAGAGAATGCATGAGCATCGACTGCAAGAGAGAAAACTGCATTTAGCTACACTTACACTAGACAATTAGGAAGATTTCCCCAGCTTTGCTCTCCAAGGGCCACAGCTTCCTCAGATGATAAAACTGTTTGCATCGCTCATCTAGCATTTCGCTGCAAAAAAAATGCTTTAATGACAAGAGGAGCTTAGAGGCAAGAATTTTATGCAAATCATGTTCTGTGTTTATAAGATTCTTTAAACCTGCCGTTCAGAGAGCTCGGCTTGCAAACAGCAAATTACAAGATTCTTAGCACATGAAAATACAATTACAATCCCAAGTGTCAACTATAGACCATCAGCATCTAAAACATAGTAATTTCTGCACAATTTAACCAAACGCAAACTCGTGCAATTGTCTTGTTGGTTTTTAAGGGGGAAAAAAGACAAACAGTGGTGATTACATAACATTTATGTTCCTGGGAAAATACCAAGGATGTGGGGCTACCAATGAAAATGATGTTTCCGTGGTACCTGCCAGCCTCAAGTGAGTAAGCTCAAGAAATTCTAGCTTCTTTTCAGGATAAGTGGTATGCTTTAGTAAAACTGGGGCTTTAAAAAGACCTATATGTATATATACATATGCATAAATGTGTGTCTGCACTTGTGGTTGGGTGTGTACACAAGCACACACACACACACACACACACAGAGAGAGAGAGAGAGAGAGAGAGAGAGAGAGAGCATTTGGGATGACAAAAACGATGGAATTATGCTGGCATAAACTAGCCAGCCATCTCTGCAACATGATGTAACTGGATTTCAGCTGCAATTCAGAAGAAACACATCCTGCATGTAAACAGGATTTCCAGCCTCATGCCTGAGATCCTGAGTGGTGTTCTCATTTTAGTCCCTTACAAAACACTCCTGCTTTTGAGCGCTGTGAGAAACTGGTCAGACTAATGTAAACAATTCAAGGGAGCAGATGAAAACATTTTTTTTCTTTCATCAGGAAATTCCTTCACCGGGTCCTTCCCATTCCGGTGAGCAGCTAGGAGCAGCAAGAACCAGACATTTCAGCTTTAAATGGGCTTATCGGTGTATGCCGCACATTTTCTTGAGTTGACCTCCTTTGTGTAGCTTTTAGCTGAATGTTTGAGCACACAGAAATACTTGAAAACTAGACTTGGTTTTTCATAACAAAAACTTGCAACACACATTCTTGTGGAAGAATGGATTACAAAACTCTTGAAGGTCAAGCTGTGGCCAAGAAATCCAAATATTTTTGTTATCATGACATGTAATTTGGCAAGGGATAAATAAGTTCAGCACATCTGGTTCTAGGTTAGAATTCACCAGTTAAGGGTTTTGAGCCGCAGTGCTGGAGAAGAAACACTGTTTAAACCACATTATTGCCTTAGGTTTCAAAGTAAAGTGGACCTACAGTAATACATTACTGAATGTGAGGAAGGCCTGTCCCCAGTTAAGGTTGCCAGTACTGAAATTTCTGATCCTCTAGTCAGTTTCGATCTAGATCACAAATGTTGGTGGCAACACAAATTACCATGTCGGTATATGAATTTGTCCAGCTCTGCAATGCTACAAATTGACAACCATTTGCCTAAGAAAACTGTTGTCAGTTCAGAACGTTATTAGGAATATGTCTCTTGTTGTTGTTGTTGTTTAGTCGTTTAGTTGTGTCCTATCCTTCGTGACCCCACGGACCCGAGCACGCCGGGCCCTCCTGTCCTCCACTGCCTCCCGGAGTTTGGTCAAATTCATGTTGGCTGCTTCAGTGACCCTGTCCAGCCATCTCGTCCTCTGTCGTCCCCTTCTCCTCTTGCCTTCACTCTTTCCCAACATTAGGGTCTTATGTCTCTACTACTTCTCAATGGCCCACCTCCAGAAATGGCTCACAGGGCCACCAAAAGACAACACAGTAATACAATATGTGCTAAACAAGGTTCTGAGTAAGACTATGATGCTAGTAGACAAGGTATCATAAACCAGCATGTGTACGCAAGTAATGTCAATTCCTTATTCTCCATTGCTTATTTTCAGTGAAACTCGTTGACCTTGGAAGTGGACTGCTCTCCATTTTCCCCTGCCAGTTTCAAGGAAGGGAGACTAGGTTACATATACCCTCTTATTGCCCAGGACATACTGCAGATCCATAGCCCGGGGGGGGGGAGGGTAAGGTTGGCCTCAAGGACGATGTCCAGTTGGACTCAGAGAAGGTCCCCAGTGCATCGATGCCCATGTTTCTTTTCACTCTTTTCTATCATGCTGCATCCATGTCACCCATCTATACGATAGACCTGCCAATCCACCAGTGGTTTTCTGTCTTTATCAAGACTCGAAGAACAGAAACTGATTGTCGATTCCGGTTGGTTCCAAACCACAAGTTAGCACTGGATCCCATTTACCCTAACAAACACGCCTTTGTCTTGAGGGGCCTTTCAGACAATTTTTATACATACACTACTATAAAGAGGTCTTCCTTGCAACCAAGTGTTCTGAGTTCCGGAAAAGTAAATTTCCACAGCTCTCGAGATGAAATGTTCTGCTACTAGCAAAATGTCATCTTCCTGCCAATCCCAATTAGTACATCTTCTTGCACCAACTTGGGTAGCAGTGGCGTGCGTGTCATGAGAAGCCAAAGCCCACTGCCGGGTAAGACTTCCTGCTGTGCCATGCCTGTGTCATGGCACTTGTCAAGGCTCTGCGCTTCCTTTCCAGTCAACGCCCCATGCAGAGAGAACACCTCCCGGCAGGTTTAATGTCACTATAAAGTGCTAATTTTGAAAGGGCAGGAGGTGTTTACACCTCTTGCCTTAGACAACAGCCGTCAGGTGGCAAACTTTTGTTAACGTTTTTTCTCACTTCTCTTCTTCCCCAACATTATTCAACCCTGGAGCATATGCTCTCAAATGTGCTGTTTATCAACCCAGCCTTGGTGTTGGTGGCTGAGACACTGTTATCATATACTACTAAGAGAATAAAAACACGAAATAAAAAGACACCCGTTCCAGAATATACCTTCCAGACCTGCAACTGGACGTGTTTGCATTCACATTTCTGCAAACGTACTATTTGTCTAAAAGGTTCCATTTTACATTATTTTAAGGGTTGTGTCTGAAGAAGTAAACAGTGAACCACGAAAGCTCCCTCTGAACTCGTCAATTCGTCTCAGAAGAACCTCCATACCTTTTTTCTTTGTTTTCATTGTCACTTTTAATTTACTTTGAGAAAAATCTAGACAGTTTGCAGCAAAGGTTTACTCTACTCAATCCTCCACCTGGCTAAGGTTGTCTGTTATGGAAATGACGCTGTCTTTTCTTATAAACAATTTTGTCTACGGAAACAAGGAGCGTGAAACCCAGCACTCCACAAATCCAAAGCTCATTTAAACAAGTTTACCTTACCAGAAATTGCAAATGATTTCTTAAATGGCAGCCCTGGGAGAGAGACCTAGAATGGCAGCCAAACATCCCAATCAGGAGGATTTTTTTGAGGAGCCTTAATTTTAAATTCTCCAGCCATCAGGAGGGTACCTGACAGTCCCCTTGCAGCCAGAATTGGCAAGGAGATTAGGGACGCATAACGGTGCGTTGCCTAGCGCAAGGAGAAATCAATCTTAACAGAGGGGCTGTAATGCAACCTCGGCCACGCAGGGAATCATTTGCAGTGTGACAGTCACTTACAAGAGGCCAGATAGTTACGGTTTTAGGGAAGCATTATTATTGACGTATGGCTGAGATGGAGAAACTGAACAGCAGTTCCTAAGTGACTGCTAAAGAAGCCGAGGGCCAACCCGCAGCTGAGTCAGCGGAAGCAAAGTTAAGCCATACGGCCGTTTCACACTTAAAGTAGGACAAATCCAGGTTTCCTGTAGGTGTCCTTTGGCTCTTTGCCTGAGAGTGTGCAACCTGTCCGCACAAACCCAGATTGCATGAGAATGTCAAGAGCCCACTGTCGATTTAACGCAGGGGAAACTGAGCAAGGCGCTTCCGAACAATGGAGCGGGCATGCCTGCAGTGCTTGCGATGAGACACAGCTGCACCCTCGCCTGACCGGATAAAAACATCCACATTGCACACCTGAACAAAGAAATTAGAAACATGGGGATGTTTGAACAACTCCACTCGTGATGTTTGCCACGGCACATGCAGTGGCACTGAAGACTCCAAACTCTTGATACCTCAAGACAGAGAAGGAATCACACGAGTATATGTGCCATGGTCTCAACCACATCATCACTGCTTCTTCTCCAAACAGGCATATATAGAATCTGCTACCTTCTCTTAGGGAGGAGATGAAAGTTGCCTTGGGTTCTTTTTAAGAAGAAAGGAAGGATAGAAATATTTTTAAATAAATAAATAATATATTTTGGTGAATCTTTGTCTGCCTTTAAACATGAAATCTGATACTAATCAGTCAAGAATTTCCTTAACGTTGTGGTAGAGCAAATGCATGATGCTATTCTTGCTTACCAGCCTGTGGCTAGAATAGTTTTTGTTTAACAAAAACCACAGGTACCCAAAACACCAGTATCTCCCACAGGCAGCCAAAAAGCCTTCTAAGAAACGAAGGCCTTGGATCCATCTACAAAAACTATATTCATGGGATAAAGCTGGAGGTAAAGTGCCCTCAAAATCCTACAATGAAAAAGCCTACATAAAGAAATCAAAAGGAAGTAGCTCATTGCTGTTAAAAGAAATCCTAGCACAAGTGGACAGATGATGAGCCATTAACACGCTTCAGATTAAAAGACAGCACAACAGACAACAGATCACATTCAAGCGAAGTCTCTGGTCATTCTGCTCTTTCACTCTCCTGGTTTCCCTACGCGAGAGAAGATTCAGAATGACCTGATTTGGTAAAACTGTTCCACAGAAATAAGGGATGAGTACAGTGCACAAAATGTCAGAATGTCAAGCCCTCGTGAAGTCATGAGTCACTGTCCCTGGATGACCTGAGGCCAGCAGTTTAATAACTCTGAGCCTCAATTACATCACAAGTTGTTGCGAGGATAAAATCGGTGTAGGGCGAGCCATGCACGCCACCCTCACCCCCTTGGAGAAATGGCCAATTTTAAACACGATGCAATGCAATGGAAAAGGGCCACAAAGCACTGTGTGCAGCAGAAAGCACGTGGCTACAAACAACACTGGATTTTAAGACAAGAACTTACCCCCAAAGAGCCATTCCCAGCAAGGTCACTCAGCCTGCTCACATTATTGCTGACGGGAGGAGAAAGGCTTTTGGGTTTTGGACCCCTCAGATCTTCACTGTTTGGCAGCAGGATTTTTTCCAAATTAATGTCCCTGGGAAGAGTTGCATCTTGCTCTGAAGACTGAGGCTTTGCATGATCTTGATGGGGAGATTTATTCTCAGGGGGCTGAAGTGGAACTGGGTGGGCTGGAGGACTTCCACTGCCGGAGCTGGTGTCCCTCTTCAGAGAGTTTCCCCTGGTGGCTGCAAAGCGATGTCTCTGCAGTGGCAAGTCTCTGAAGGATCTCCGTACCCTTTCTTGGCTCTGGTGTCTCACCATCCAGTCCAATCTCTTGAGAAGGGGATCTCTCCTCTCCAGGGCTGGCTGGAAATTGAATCCATGCTCAGAGTTTGTTATAAACATCACAAAAGAGTCGGCGCTATCAGTCCAAAGGGCCTGACACCACTTGGGGTTGGTACAGTTCACCTGGATGCATGTATTTCCCATGAGCCAGAAGCCATTGCAGGCTGGGCTCTGACAGCAAGCCGCTTCGCAAGACAGCAAAGAATGGGATCCTTCCAGTAGATGCAAACGGACCCCATCTAATGACCTCAAGTGCCCCGCACGCAGATATTTCCCTGGCTGGCAAGCACTTCCGCTCCAGCTGGCATCTGAACAATGAGAGGCAAAAACAATCGTAGTTGTCAAGCTGTAGAAAGGGTAGCCATGTTAGTCTGTTCAATCATTACCGGTAAAAGCAAAATAGAAATAAAAAAAGGGGGGGGGAGGGAGACAAAAACGTGGTACCACCTTAAAGACGAACTTCTATATTTTTTAAGGTGAACTTTCATGGGTAAGTCTCTTATGTCATCAGACATAAGAAAAAGAGATTTAACATGGTAAATATTTATACCTGCCATCAAAATACAGATATAAAAATACAGAGATCGTGGCTGGTTGGTAAGAACGTGAGTGGGTGTAACATTGTGGTGACAGTGTCATTGATATGCATGTATTTTATTTAAGCTTTTGAGACTTTCTTTCCTTGTTAAGCTGCATCTCACAGAAGAGGGTAACAGAAGAAATCAAGGAGTCCAACTTTTAAAAGCCACTTGGTTTTCCCTCTTCAGTAAGAAATAATCATAAACAAACTTAAAAAGAAGGATGTGCATTGTTTTTGGACAACATGGACCAAATCTGGGCAGAGGCATTAATAGGGTGGAGTGGTATCTCCTCCAGTCCCTTGTGTTAAATCACAAATTCGCCTGTCTCAGTCAAAAGGAAGGAGGAATAGAGAAACCTTAAGGAAGACACTGAGCTCGCAGCAACGGACAAGAACATGCTCTTTACCTGAGAAATGGACCTTCCTTGCCTTTCCTGCTGCTAAGTTGTTCATTAATCATCAACATCTCTACTGTAGCCACTGCATACATTTCTTTAAATCCAGAGAGGAAAAGCACAGCAAGAGAGAATGAAAGTGAAGAGAACAGTAGGCTTCCCATATCCCCTTTCAAGAAGGAATCAAAGAGGACGGTATCCATTGCCTTTTTAAAGTCCGTCCTACATTTCCTCCTCTGCAGCTGCCTTAGGAAGCTGCTCTGCTCCCTGGTGGGACTGGGGCATTTTTCCATGAAAAAGACAAGAGGGAAAATGAAAATAAAACAGCTCTGTAGATGCCTGAGGATCCAGACAGAAGCCCTCACCTCCTGCCTGCACCATTCAATATATGATCTCATCTCAGAGGAATGGATTTTTTTCCCCTGCAGAGAATTTGGAAATGCATTAATACCATTATGAACCCTAGATAGGAATCAGGCCAAAGTATCCCCAAAAGGGACACGATGTGTCAGGACGTGGTGCTCCAGGAATCCATCAACCTACCATGTCCAACAATAGGGTCGGCCCTGCCACAGAGTCAGAAGGATTCAACAAGAGGAGCTAAGCCCAAGCCACAATTGGAATTTTTTTTTATTTGTCTCTCCAAGTGAACCTTCAAGCATCCAATTATCTCCACCTTAATCTTCCTGTGCTTACAATTAAGAGTGGTGGAACAGCAGCATGGAAATACTTTCCCACACACGACACTCATGGTAACTGCAAGTCTGAGATGTGTATTTGATTCCTGGACTGGCAAGCGACACTCCTCCTTTCCTCTTGTTGGGCAGAACAATTCCATCACCATGCATAGATAAGGACCCAAGGATCTGCCTGTTCGGGACAGTAGAGAGGGAGGGAGGAAAGAAAAGGGGGAAAAAGCTCCCCATTGCTTATGATTTTTCAGCTATAACAGGTGGAAAATAGAATTCTGAACTGACTTTCAACATAAATCAGTAATACTGTTCTCCAGTGCTACAATTCAGATTCCCATCATTATTCATGGGATTAACCAAAAACAAAGAGAAGTGAGAATCATCTAGGGACTTCTGAATTCAATGGCACTATTTAAAACTTCTGATCTGATTAAATGATCCTTATCTTCAGGCACCTTGTCTTCCAAAGATCATGTTGCCCTGGGTCAGGTGCGCCAACAAAGGAGTGTCACAAACAAAGGAGTGCCAACAGACAGCCGACCTATCCACAGACAAAAACTGTTCACAGGAGTCTCTTTTACTCCACTGTCTGACTCTTTTCAGGCCTGCTTGCCAGACAGATCAGCAACATGCAATTAATGGTCCACACAACTTTGAACTGCATGGAAACCCACCACCACCACCCCCCAAAATCACAGGAAAGTTGAGACATAGGTCCCCTACACACGCACGCCCATGGACAAAGAAATCCTCAGCCTCTGTACCGATCAAAATAAGAATTTCACTCGCCAAAATGAACACATAAATAAATTTTAAATCCAATAGAACAGATGTGGTGCAATTACTTTTGGCAGAAAACTATTGCTGCAGATGTATCTCACCAACCTATGTTAATCTGTTGCCTGGTGACCTTTTCTCTTTCTGCCCAGTCTCGTCTCAAACTGGTATTAATAACATCTCGACAAAGAGCTGAGCTGCTAAGATGAGAGCAGAGCTCTTGGCATGAACCCCTGCTGCTATGAATGTTTTGGAAGATAAAACAGTTTACCTTTCCTACAGACTCGGGTTTAAGCAAAGGAAAAACTAGGGCATTGACCAGGAGAACAGTCATTTTTGAAAACCAGCACATCTCGTAACAAAGTATTCTCAATGTTTTGGGTTTTTATAGATTGAAGACTACTCAGACTGAAAACACAGAACATTAACAATTAGCTCTTCATTGGGCACAGGTCAAAATATTGGGTCTTCGAAGAATGGAGTGATTCAATGACAAGGGGAAGGTATTTTTAAAAAACCAGAGCGGGGAATCTTTGTGAACGGGTGGAAGTCAGCCTGTTCTAAACATCCTTCGGACAGACCAACTTTCATCAAAGAAGTGAGTAAGCCGTTTCTAAAGACGCCATAGAGAGAAATTTATTTAGCAGTGCCTGATGCTTTATAAAAGGTTTCAGAAGGCAACTGATGCCTTGATTCCAGCACCAGCCCGCTAAAAGTTGGAAGAATCTCTCTCTCTCTCTCCCTTCTAGCACTGAAGTTAATTGTTCTATCAATCCTTCAACCGGAGGATAAATATTTATTCTGTACAGAGTACACAATATTCAGTTTCATGTTGATGTAATTCTGACCAGCCCTCGCTCTGACCAGCCTTTCCCATTCCGCTGCCTGCCCTTCAGAGATTTTACATCCAGGTGCCCTCATCCGGCTCACAACACAGATATCATTCCACGTTAGCTGGGGATGATAGGGGATGTGGTTCCAGTAATCTAGAGGGCACGGAGTTGAAGTTGCCTGGTTTAGATCCTTATATTTAGTGCTAGGACGATTAAGGCCACTCTAAAATAGAAAGGTGGCCTCCAGGTTGGGACCACAGGTCTCCAGGAGATTAACTGACCAACTGGGTCATTCTATCCTGAGCGTGAGCTTATGTGCGACCAAGTGGACATGTTCCACGAAAGCTTACGTTAAATATATACCAGTTCGTCTTTCAGACCAAGTGGACATGTTCCACGAAAGCTTACATTAAATATATAGTTCGTCTTTCACAAGCCACCTCTTCCCTTCCTTCTCTTTCTTTCATCTTCCTCACAACCTGTTCCTTGCGCAAATAACTGTCAGCAAGTTTTTTTCTTCTTTCTATCCTTGCTAGAACCACGGTGGCGGCGTCACACTCGCACAGGAAGGGGAGAGGGAACAGGACTAGCCTGATACAGGATTTGCAGGGCAATCGGAGTTCCAGTTCCTTGCAGTCAAGCATTATCTCCCGTTTCCTCCCATCATTTCTCAAACCTGGTTTTTGAGAAGTGCTACCAAGTATACTGTGGATGTGTCAAAGCTGGTTCCAACTCAAGACAAGCCTCAAAGTGTTTCCAAGTATGTATGTGAGAGCTCCAGCGCATGGTTTTTCCACTGCCCCCTCTACCGAGTTTCCACAGGCAAACGGCCTCACCGGCTCTTGCCAACAGGAACACAATGGCCAACTCTATCTGGGCTGCAGAGCTATTATGTGGCTCTTTCACCTCACTATCTGTCGGTGGAATTTTCGCCCCCAGTATTTCGGAGCGAGGGACCCCCCCCCCGGGTGGGTTCATTCTGGTTTCCCCTTTTTTCTTTTAACATTCTCTTCTCTCCAAAGCATAACAGTACAAACACGCACTTGGAAATCAAGGAATTAATGACGAAGTTGCAATCACATCTCCCTTTCTGGCACAAGCCTACGGACCGCGCTTTCATCTGGCTTTGGAGAATTTCTCTGACTAAAGTTTGCACAACGCACAGCGAATTCTCATTATTTTCTAGAGCTAAAAGGAGGTAAGGTTTTCTGCCACATCTAGCATTAGCAATCTGGGGCCGCTAAAAATGCTTTTCTTTTCCTTTAAAGCCGGTTATGGATGACTCATTTTTCTCTTCCCAGCCTCTACTCTCCATTATTTTCCAACAGCAGGCAGTCCTTCTCACCTTTTGCCATAAGATTACGCAATGGATCCTTTCTGTGTGTCTCTCCACTTTTAATCATGGCATGAAGGGATGCAGCAGACTTTTTACTAATGTCTACAGAAGCAGGCCCTTTTGTTTCAAGCCTTAATGAAAAAGAGGCTGGTAACACATGGGGAGGCCTCCTATATTTCCTGCATTTTCTTTTTACTAATTCCAAAGAGCACCTCCTGAGGTGGATTAACAGCGCACAATGAAAAATCCCGAGTTCAAGGACCAGTTTAAATTTCCTTAGGCCACTCATCTAGCAGATTCAGTCTCTACTTACAGGACTAACAACAATGACTGAATGTTACAGTAGAGATGAGCAAATTGCAGTCCTCCAGGCTCTGAGTGGCCACTTCCAGCACTCCTTCCACTGGCCGTGCTGCCCAGGATTCATGGGGAATATGAACACACTTAAGGCCACATTTTGTCCACCCCGTCTTATAGGTGTATCAAGGCAAAAACACACTCCATTGAATGTAAAGCACTTGAACACTGATGTGCTACAAAATATGTTTTATCACTGAATCCCGGAAGGAAGTCTTCCAGCAGAAGGGGGCTATGTAACTCATCATTTTGATGATGCGAATGCCACAACTATCCAATGTGCATTCCAAAATCTTCATGAAATGAATGGATCCTATGCATGGTGTTGGTTGAGGCAA